GACTTTGAAAAGTCACCAGCCTCACTTTCTCCTTCGAAGCCCTCTGAGTCCAGTGTCAAGATATAGATCAGGAGGACTGGAGATGGCCCAGACCCAGAGGTTATATTCTAAATATCAATGTCAATTACTGATAGGTTACTTTCTCCTGAGGCAGCTAGGTGGAGCAGTGGATAGAGAGCTGGGACTGGAGTCAGGAAAATTCATCTTCCTGAGTTCAAATTTGGTCTCATACATTTAACCAGCTGTAAACAATTCAGTTAACACTATTTGCCTTGGTTTCCTCATCTGTAAAAATGAACTGGAGAAGGAAGGACATGGCAAGCCATTCCAGTTTCTCTACTAAGAAAACCTCAAATAGGGTCACAAAGAGTAAGACACGACTAAACAACAGTAACAATCAGTAACACTTTCTCCTATGTGGCTGGAATTGTGAAGACAGCTTCAGTGGAAGCTGAAAGGAGAGAGAGAAGGAGGGGGGAGGGAGGAAGGAGAGAGAGACACAGAGAGACACAGAGAGACACAGAGAGAGAGAGAGAGGGAAAGGGAGAGAGAGAGAGAGAGAGAGAGAGAGAGGAGAGAGAGAGAGAGAGAGAGAGAGAGAGAGAGAGAGAGAGAGAGAGAGAGAGAGAGAGAGAGAGAGAGAGAGAGAGAGAGAGAGAGAGAGAGAGAGAGAGAGAGAGAGAGAGAGAGAGAGAGAGGGAGAGAGAGAGAGAGAGGTGAGAGAGAGTGTAGAGGGATGGGGAAAGAAAGGAGACACAGAGACAGACAGTGATTTCTTATGAAATATCCCTAGAAAATGTCTGTAGTTCCTAAGTAGCTTATATAAGGAGGAAAGCTTCAAGGAAATATAGTTGAAATTGGGGCTGTTGTTTTTCCTTCCAAAATAGAATACTATTAGGGTACAAGTAAAAAACAAAAACAGTAAATGATTTTTTGAAAGTTTAAACCCCCATTCTCTTTTTCACAGAGTATATGTTATCATTGATTGGTTGAAGTTGTCAATGAAATGAGGTGAATAAAGTTTATTCCCTACTTGTGAAAACTGTGGAGAGATAATTTGTCTCAAATACACCAGCTTTTCCAGTCATCTACCATCCTTCATTAAGTAAAACCAAGACACTGGCTCCTCTATTACATTGTTTGTAAATATTATCCATTTGGATACTGTCCATCACCTTTTTTGGAAGTAATTGTTTTTTTTTATATGCTAGGCAATGAAGGAAAGAATGGATCTCTTAACCTTTACCGTACCTAGAAGGCAAATTTTATGCTTTTGCAAATACACATACACATACTTTTCAGTTTACAGATTAAGTATAAAATGATAGTAATAAAAAAAATCTTCCTGAATTATGGGGAAATCTTCATCTTGGATGTGTGTGTGTATCCATTCATCCATAAACACTTATACACATATATCTATATATCTATATATATACACACATATATATACATATGTATGTATATATATATATATATATATATACACACACACACACACATATACATATACACATAGGTATACACACACATAAATCTATACATATACATCTGTGCCATACACACACACACACACACACACATACACACACACACTATATATATACATACATATACATATGCATACACACATCTCTCCCTATACATATATCATCCATTGCTAGTGGAAATTCTTTACTAGGTTCTCTTTTCAACAATGAAATAATGGGTCTAGTTTCTATCCCTGTATGTATTTATAGTTTAACTGTACTTATATCTCCCAGTTTCCTAATATTAACATAATAATTGTAAATCCTGTGTGTATATAGCACACACACACATATATATATACACACACACACACTGTATACACCCCCATATGTATAAATATTATTCTATGTATAAGTATATATACTCTCTTCTCCCTCTCTCTTTGTATATATTTACATACATATGCATATGTAGGAAGAAGGAAGGAAGGAAGCAAGGAAGTACTTACTATGTACATAGCACTTTGCTAAGCTTTTGGGATAAAAAGAAAAAGTACAACACTTCCAAGGAGCTACCAAAGAGCTCACTTTCTCATGAGAAAGATAATACAGAGGGAAGGTTTCAGCTACTGGTCAGATGGAAAGGTAAAAAGTCTTCACAGTACTGAAACAAATCAAATACAAATGCTTCTTTAATGCTATTTCCACTTACAAAAATATGAAAATATATCTAACATATACATTATATAAATTAAAATATACTCAGTATACAACATATAATTTGCTATATCAGATATAATTATTTGTCATTGTTGTTCAGTTGTTTCAATTATATCCTATTCTTCATAACTCCATTTGGGCTTTCTTGGCAAAGATACTGAAGTGTTTTGCCATTTCCATCTCTTGTGGATGATGGTCTTGGAGTTATACTTTAGTTTATCTATGATATCATTAATGAGGTTAATTCCCCTAATAAAACAGCTAACCACCTATTCTGGCCATTTCATCCTAGGTGACTTTTGATTGTGTCCTACTATAGCTCTCCCACAGGGTGTCCAATCAGATATTCTGGGGGCTTTCCTCTAGATATTCTGGAATCTTATGAATTCCAATGGAGCCTGTGAACTCTCCATCAGTTATCCTTCACTCTAGCCACATGACTTACCCACTTTCCTTTTTAGTCCTCATTGATAAGAAAAATATCAAGATGGAGATAATTTCAGGTCCTTTTATAGAATGTTAATTCATTGGTTGTAGTACTAGTATCTCACATTTAGAACATTAAATTAATGTTTAAAAATCATCTGAAAACTATAGTTCTTGGTATACTTTGCCACCATTCTGCCACCATCACTGTGGATGAAGAAGGGCATATGCAAGACTGAGGGCCATTTTGTATTCTTTGCTTCAAGGGTTGCCAGGGCTGAAGAATTCATCACTAAATATCAGATGTATTATCTAAGAGCTACTTATTTAGCTAGGCTTGCTATCAGAAAGCAGACATAGCCCATTGCCAATATGACAGAACATGCCAGAGCTTGCCCATAACTGGCATAGACTTTGTGAACCCATGGTCACTTTCACTTCATATTGAATAGGACCTTGTGGAGTTTAAGATTATATTACACATAAAACACCTTTTCTTTTTAATGAATTCATGTTGCATATGTATTTTATATGTGTATATTAAAATTTTCCTCTTTTTTTTTGTATGTTTGTGTGGGAAAGGTAGACTGTTGTCCCTTGCTCTGTTGTTCTCTCAATACTTTTTTTACTGGTCCTAAGGAATTCTAAAACTTCCTTTCCCAGTACTTTCCTCTGAATAAGCTTTGACTGTCAAATTCTCCCAGGTACCAGCTAAGAATTTCAGATAATTATATTTTCCTCTTAAAATGTGGAATGATGGAGAACTCTTTCAAATCACCTGAAAATTAGTTTGCAAAGTATATTAACCCTTAGGGAAAATAGCTTAAAATGCTGTAGCAAAAGAACCTGTGGAGAAGTAGCTCTGAGTAAGGAAGAAAATGTCATTTTCACTATAACACAGAAAGGAATTTTTATTACTATTATTTTAGATTTGTCAATTGGCACATCATTATAATTAATCTTGGAGTAATTGCTTTGATTATAAACCTTCTGGACTGGGATTGATAGCTCTCTAATGATCTGTAGAATAATGTCATTCAATAAAAATCAGTAATTGTCATTTTTATTTGTACACTTACCACTAAGCCATCATCTAAAGTGGCTCAATTCAATCTCGTGAATAGCTATTTTTTAATCATTAGACCCAACAAAATGCCAGAGAATTTTCAGTGGTCTCAGCCTAATTAATCAATGACAGTCTGGAACTACTGTTCTCTTTCTCTCCTACTCTTCCCACTCCTGGATTACCTCAGCTTGGTGGAAACAAAGGCATTAGCCACTTCCTAATATGCTTAGTTTTAACCCATCTCTTCTGCCAATAGATTCCTAAGGAAATCAAAGGAAGAAGAAATAATGGATATTGATTTCTTTTCTCAAGTTGTTGCTGCCTTCTCATTAAATCCATTGCTTACTTGCTTTTTAGAACATAGGCATAGCTGGTGAAGTTAAGGATATCTTTTCATGGCTGGTAAGCCATAAGAAGCCATCTCAAGAGAACTAAATAAAGGCCCTGAAGTCACTGGGAAAATTCCCTGTGATAGATTCATGGGAGAATATGGATGAGTTGCAGAGGATAGATCATGCTCAGTTTCATAGGATGGACTGTCCATCAAATAGCAAAGATTAACCCATTTTAGCCTACTGTGTTGGAGGTGACCCAGTGGGGCCATGAGGCTATAATTTAGCAATGTTATTGAAATGGACTAAAGGGTGTGGCAACTGAGAACTAGAATGCCAAGACATAATAGCATTCCTGCTGGGGTGGTAGTATGTAAGGAACGGAGGAGACACAATCTTTAGAGTTCTAGCATATTATTCAGTATCTACTTTGTGCCGTAAAGGTGGAAAACAGAATTATAAAAAAAAAAGAATTCCATAAGTATTTATTAAGCATCTGCTATGTGCAAGGCCCCAGCATTACCAAGACAAAGCTGCTCTCAATAACCATAAACTCTATGGAGGGATAATTTGAGGAGGTAGACAACATTGACAACTGACGGGATCACGGCAAGCTGAACTTCAAAGGAAGCTAAGGTTGCAGGGGAAGTGCTAGTACATTCCAGGAATGAGAACACAGCTGAGGTAAAAGCATGGAGAAGGGAGTTGGAACTCTGAATTCCAGGAGCAGCAAGAAGGAAGTCAGTTTGGCTAGAATGGAAAATATGTAAATTAGAGTATTGTGAAATATACTTGGGAAAGTATCCTGGAATATGACTGTGAGGGACTTTTTGTTTCTTTGTTGTTATTGTTGTTTAGGCTTAAGAGAATAGGAATCCTTGGAAGATTCTTGAGAAAAGGAGTAATATAGCCAAACCTGTTTTTTTTATTTTTAGAAAGATTCTTTTGTTAGAAGAGAGGATAGACTAGAAGTAGGGAACTCTGATCTTCAGTAGCTTACAATATAGTTAGGGGATATAGAGCATTTTTCTTCTGGGAATGCCCTTTCTTCTCAGCTCTGCCTATTCTATTCCTACTCTTCCTCCAAGGCCCAGCCCAGATGTTATCTCCTCCATTCCCTGATTCTCCCCAGCTAGAAGTTTTCTCTCCTTTCTTTAAATTTCTAGAATGCTCTGCAGCTCTCCCATAGCTCTCCAAACTTCACCTTAATAATCATGTACATGTCTTATCTTTACCACTAGGCTTCGTGGGGACAGGGACCATGTGTTATTCTTCACATCAGCTGGTCTCACTATTTCAGTAAAGTAAGGGAGTGATGTAATTTGCAATAAACATTCTGGCTGGAGCTGAGGGCGGTGGTGAGAGGAGACAATAGTCACCAGACAAAATGAGATATAAGATTTCAATAAGGGTGGTGGAACAGAAGGATTGTTGAGCATCAGAAAGGCCAAGTTGTGGTTGTGTGCCATGAATAACGGTGGGCAAAATCAGCTGGATGATGTGATTTTCTCCTTTGGTATCCAGCTGCTCTGGAGCAGGAGTGGAGAGACTGGATGGTCGCAGTACCCCAGGGATGTGGCTTCACCCTGCAGTATTTCAATATCTTTGCAGGTCTGTAGAGGGTGAGAACAATAAGCATGAATTGTAGGGAGAAATAAATACAGAATGATTACCCATGCAAAAGGTTTCCCTAGATAAAATCATTTTCTCATTTTTCATCAGGTATGAACAGGAATGAAAATATGAGTGAGTCACTCAATCCATTAATAATCAAATGAACAATGAATGAATATATTTTTATGTACAACAGGTCAAGTATAAGTACATGTGGGGGAAACTTTAAATTCTGTGCATATGATTTAATTGCACCAGATATAAAAATATAAGTGGAGACTGCAAAGAGGTAAATATTTTAGGCACTCTACAAAGCTTAAATGTATGTGCCTATGTGTGTGTGTGTGTGTGTGTGTGTGTGTGTGTGTGTGTGTGTGTGTGTATGAGACAGAGAGAGAGAGAGAGAGAGAGAGAGAGAGAGAGAAAGTGTAATACAGAAGAAATATATGTTGGGGAAAAAATTCTGTTAGCACCACAAAAGGAAAGAAACAGCAGGAGTTAGGGAGGCATGGGCGTAAAGTTAAATGAGAAGAAACAAAAAATAATTATGCTTGGTCAAAAGGGAAAGGCAAAGATAGCAGGAGTATAAGGTTATTCTCTAACTTATTTGTTTTTTTGCTGTTCCAGAAATGAAATGACTTATGGGGAAAGAATGAAAACTAATAATACTAATTGCTAGAAATAGAAGTAGGGATGATCCCAGCAGTGCTGGGATTAGAGCAAGGAAGCCCCAAATTCAGATTCTGATCTTGACACATAGTAGCTCCATGACACTTGGCAAGCCACTCAAACTCTCTAATCTTCCCATTTTATTTGTAAAATGAAAATTTTACTAGCATTTTCCCAGCCTTATTGTAAGGATCAAATGAAAAAGTGCAATATGAATGTTAGTTCTACTTATAATGTAATTATAAGACAGCAAGACCTAATGTGTTGAATATATTGAATCAATATAGTATGCAATATGAGAGTCAGCTGGGTGTCATGGTTGCTAGAGCACTGGACCTGAAGTAATGGAAACCTGAGTTCAAATTTGGCCTCAGATACTTAGTAGCCCTATGACCCTAAGTCACTTAAACTGTCTTCCTCAGTTTCCTCATAATGGGAATAATAATGGCACATACTTCTTGTAGTTGGTGTGAGAATCAAATGAGATAATAGTATGTAAAGAGCTTTATAAACCTTACAGCACCATATAAATACTAACTGCTGTTATTGTGAATTGAGAGATAAACATTCTGTGAAACACAATCAAGTGACTTTGGAAGTGATAATAATAAAAGTTCCCTGTAGTGGTTATGTATTTGATAAATTTGATGGAAATCTATGGAGGGTTTGCTATTTAAAGAATATTCAGGAAACAAATGTTCTCCTGGAATATAACATAGTAGAAAGAGTTCAATATTTGGAATTTGTTGACCTGGGTTAGTGTCCTAGTACTGATAGTTATTAACTTTGTGACTTGGGAAATCATTTCATTTTTTTTCTAGGATGTAGTAGTTGTTTTTTTTTGTAAAATGAAGTGATTAGAGTTAAACTTATCACCAATGTGGCCATGAGGGAAAAAAAAAAAATCATTTAACCTCTCTGACTTTCTGGTTTCTTCTCTGTAAAATAAGGGATGGGACTACTGATTTCTTAGAACCTTGTCACTTCTAAATGTGATCATCATACTATGCTATGACTAGATGATTTTTCAGGTTCCACCCCAAAACCTGACATTATGTGATTCTTTGACATTATTTTTTTAATGTTTTAAATGTTTTTGTCTGTCCTTCAGGGGCATATATCATCTGGTTCCATTATAATTTTCCAATTTTATATTACCATCTGGTTAGAACATTACATACTGACCAAGAGAGTAATTACTCTTTATGTCATTGCTCTGATGCTTAATGCCATTCAGTATCTTTGCTCTTACTTCCTTCTTCCCTGCAATGTCTTCTTCTTTTTTTCTTCAACTCCTCATCCTTTATGGCTTCACTTTATTTCTGCCTCCTTCACAAAGCCTCATATCTTAACCTGGCATGGGAATCTGGCCTTAGAGATGTAAGCTTTTCTCCAGGATTCTACTGGCCACTGAGGCCAGATAGTGTGTGTGGGCTTATAGATTTCTTCGTGAAGAAATCTGTGGAATAGATATCAATCAAGAAAGAGAGGGAGGTGGAATTCAGTGCGTGGAGTTGCATCTTACATCTTGGGAAGATAGGAGGAGATTCTGATGCTCGTATACTCTGGTTATTTCACTTAGAAATTATGGGGAATAACTGATACTATAGTTGGTTCAGCAGTCCAGAATGATGACATGCTGTAGTGCTGAATGGACATGGTTCAGTGAGACTTTCTCTCGGATACATTCTCTTTTAACTCTGAGCCACAGAAGTAGTCACTTTTGCCTCCTTTTCTTTGTCTAGTCTGAAAAAGCTATTTCTTGTCATTACAACACAGAAGTGTTTAGGATTGGGTGTTGTATTTCCAATTTCCAGTGAACCACGGTGGCCAGAACTTCCTACTTCAATCCTCCCCATCTCTCTCTCTCTCTCTCTCTCTCTCTCTCTCTCTCTCTCTCTCTCTCTCTCTCTCTCTCTCTCTCTCTCTCTCTCTCTCTCTCTCTCTTTCTCTTTCTCTCTCTCCTTCCCTCCCCCTTCTCCTACCTCCCTATATCTTTCCCTTCTTCAGATATGCAATCACTAAACAAAAAAGAAATAGCATGTTAACTTGATTTATATCTATTAATTTGGATGATAGAATGTGGGGAACAAAAAAAAAATGCAATGTGGTCAACTCATTGAGCACCCACTGTAGAGGTAGGTACCAGGTGGGGAAGCAGCTGGAAAATGGGTTCTCCCTGGGAATTTACCATGCTGGTCATGCTGGCTGTGATAACTTTCTAAGGTAGACCTAAATAATAAGCATGGCAACAAATCAAACAGAGACATATTTATAACGTGAAATCATAGTTTTCCCAAGCTAGTGTTATTAGTAAGCTAGACTCTTAGGACAAAGAAGGAGAAGAGAGAGGCTTACTGCATGGGCTTGCCTGGGTTCCTCTATCCCTCTCCTCCTCTCCCTATGATTTTGCCCTTCATCAATCTGTATTATGTGTATGACAGCAAAATTGTTGCCATCTTCATCTTCAGATAAAGAATCCAGGGCAATCAATCAAATGAGTGTTTCCTTCTTACCACTGCCTTCTAATCCACCATAAATTTTTTTAAAGGTGAAAATAAAGTAATGTAGTAAAAAAAAATAACTGAACCAAGAGTCAGGAGATGGATTCTAGATATGGAATCTTGGGGATTATTTTCCCTTTCGAATCCTTACTTTCCTCCTCTCAGAAAGTCAGAATTCCTATTGTGAAAGGAAGTGACCAATGGGAAGGCAGTATAAACTTTCAATCAAGTGAGAGGCAGAGAAATGAAGCCTGAAACATCACTAGTATTCTCCTTGTCACCAGTTCTATACTGAAGGTGTAGGGTTACCAGACCTTTTCTCCATGCTGCTAAACTGTTTATCTCCCCAAGGCATTTGTAATAATAGAGGAACAAAGCTCCTACCCACTGACCCACTTCTCATCACCAAGCCTACAGGCTCCCTTTACTGCTCCAGAACCTCCAATTTCAGGACTTTGGCCTTTAGCTTGTATGAAATCAAGAGGCCTTCTGTTCAGAGGTTAATGCTCAGAATCAGAGAATCTAGCTTGTATTTAGCTGGTAAAATGTTTAAATCCTATTTCTCCAGAAGGTTAATGAGATATTATTCCAACAGGATTTCTAATAGGGAACATATCACGTGTTATCTATTTGATGTGTCTTCCTCTATCTTAGCTAATCTTCCCCTTTTTGTATCACCTGAAAATTTGACAAATATCTCATCTTTATCATTTTCTTAATCTCTAGCTAGAATTCTTTTTAAAAGTCTTTCCTATGCACCAATTTTCTTTATGTTTAGTTGACTTCTTCCTTACCTAAAAGCTACAAGATGCTTTATTTTTTAAAGAAATATAGTTGAGGGGTAGGGAGAAATGTCACATTCAAATTACATTAATTAGCTTCCTTTATATTTGTCAGAATCTAGGACAATAATTTTACTGTCTGATTTCATCAAATGAGGCTGAATAGTCTTTTTATTTTTTACATTAAGACTTATATTAAGTATTATGAAAATTAAGGCAAGGGTACAGCCTAATGGTGAGTGTCAGGCCATGAGAGATAACTGGATAGAGGTTACTGATTGACCATATCAACCCTCTCTCATCTCCTTATCTGTCATCTTTTCTCGGACCTCTTTATCTCTCTTTAAAATGTGCAAATTCAGTTTAGCTATTGTGTATCAGAGGAGTCTTGTGAACATTAACTAATGGAGAATCACTTTGAGATTCTCTGATAAAAGGTGCTCTCTCTATTTTTTATTATCATGAAACATTTTCCTTCTCCAGAAAAAAAAAAGTAGCTATGCCTTCGATGGTAATATGATTCAATTATACCTTGAACTGTTGCAATTACCTATAAACTTTTTTAATTATGGCATTTTTACATTTTCAATTCTATCCACTTTAACTTTCTAAAATAAATCCAATTTTTCTTGCTTTTGACATTGCTTAATTCCTTGCAAATTACAAATAATGCAGCCTCAACAAGTTTTTAAAAGCTCTACCGTACTCTGAAGTGATGCAGAACACCAATTAAAATTCATATATTAACTGACTTTTTAAAAATTTCAATTGAACATTCTTTATCCTTACACAGCATGGTATTAAATACTTAATACAAATGGTTTTTGAAAATTTTCTCTGCTTAATGACTTTTTGTAATGTTGGTGAAATGAGTTTGGATGTAAAATATTCATGTAGTTTTTAAAGTTTCTATATAATTGCAATGTCCATCTGTTTCTTAAGGGCGGGAATTGTGTCTTATTCAGTTCCTCCACCCATCCACCCAAACCCTACCCCCACACCTGTCATGTGACTACTACAGAGAATTAAACATAATGGACATCC